AAATAAATAAATAAATAGTGATCACACTCTCCAAAACGTATCAATATAATATTTTTACATGGTAAATGAGACACCATTCAAATGGCAAAAGTAGGAAACTGGTCAAGTCGATTACAAACAACAAGAGGACTACATAGTCAGTGAGACCTAAGCTGATAAACCACATGGAGAAACAGAAATGTGAAAATACAACAGTGTTTCAGTTACAAAAATGGTGGATCCATAAAATGCATGCTATGAACTAAGTCAGCTTGGCATGATATAGATGAAGTGTAACAGTTATATTTTCTGTTTTTATACAATAATGATGGGCTAGAAATAAACTTATTATCTGAGCTTACTTACAATAGACATATGTTCATTGATGCCATTCATTCTTGGGCCACAGCCTGATATTCAAGTATACTTTGTCAGTGCTGTGTGCCATACTGTGCCTTCTATGTATCTACAACATCAAGTTTGCTGGGAGATTTTAAAGTTATGCTATTGCTACAATTGTGTGCCATGCAACCTGAAGCTTACAGGAAATATCAAGCCAACTTGACACTTTTCATCTACTAAGATAAAAAAAAACCTTTTTACATATTTATTTTTAGTTTATGTATATGAATGCTTTGTCTGCATGCATGTATGTGTACCACAAGCAGGCCAGTGCCTGTGGAGGCCAGAAGAGGGCATCAGATGCCCTGGAACTGGAGTCACAGGTGGTTTTGAACCACCATTTGGGTGCTGGGAACCAAAATCTGGTCCTCTGCAAAAACAGTAAGTGATCTTAACTGCTGATCTATCTCTCCAGTGCTGATAAAAAAGTATTTGAACAATAAAAAAAAAAAAACCAAGTACAAAACCCTCTCCTTATTAAGGAAATGCACACTTTTCTGGGTGGTGGCACAAGCCTCAAAAACATTAAATGAAAAGGAAGTCAGTCTTCTCAAACGGGTGGGAAATGGTTCCTCTTAAGCCTGATTCATAGGAAAGGTAGGCTTTGGTTCAATCTCAATTCTTCCATGTCCCTGCAAATGACAGATAAATTCTTAGCCTTTTGGTGCTTTAGTGTCTCCACCTATAAGATGGCACGGTACCAACTGGCACAGTATTATAGGGACAATTAAATAAGGAGATGCACTGAAAACAATGCAAGGCCTCAGTCATTCCCTATCAAGACTGCAGAGTTCCCCTAGGTTTGCGATGCTTCACCACGGCAGTCTGGCATTTGGGAAGCACTTCTTTAAAGTTACTGATATATTTGACTTAGGCCTGGCGTAGTGACACCTTTAATCCCAGCACTTAGGAAGGCAGAGGCAGGTGGATCTCTGTAAGTTCGAAGCTAGCCTGATCTACATAGTGAGTTCCAGGCTAGGTGAGGCTACAGGAAGACCCTGTCTCAAGATGGAGTATGTGATTCATTCTGTTGGTTTGTGAGGTCTTCTGGAGAATGGATGGTGTGATGAGGGAAAAAAAAAAACAACTCTAGGAATGGTTTTCTCAGGGGAAGGGCATGCTGTTACTATGACATATTTCCCTGGGGCTCAAAGTAAAGCAAACAGGGCCGCTATGACGAACCTAAACCATTCTGTGAATACAGTTCTTGGTGACCTTGAGACCATGCAGCCCCATACAGAATACAAATAAGCATCTAGTGCAGCTTAATTTGGAGAAAGAAATATTACCCCAACTGTGCTGGACAGCTTCAGTTCTCAACTTGGCACACCAGGGAAGAGGGCTCCTCAGTTAGGGAATTTCCTCTATCAGATTGGCCTTTGGCCATATCTGTGAGGCATTTTCTTGACTGCTGAATGATGTGAGAGGGCCCAGGTGGTGCCACTCCTGGGCAGGTGGTCCTGGGTTATAAGAAAGCAGGCTGAACACAGGCCAAAGGAGCAAGCCAATAAGCAGTGTTCCTCCATGGTCTGTGTGTTGGTTCCTGCCTCCAGATTCCTGCTCTGAGCTTCTGCCCTGGGTCTCCTCCACGGTGAACTATGAGCTGGAAGGTGAAATAAACCCTTTCTTCCCCAAGCTGGTTTTTGCCAGTGTTTTCTTGCAGCAATAGAAAGTAACAATAAATAAAACTCCAGAAGGAAAAAGTCCTGATCAAAATAGGATGACATGAAACATTAAAAAGACTAAAGCAGTTTCAATGTCAGTATGGAGAATGTCAACTTCTTGATTTCAAATAGATTTCCATACTGGTTTAAGCCTAAGCAGAATAATTTGGATCTAATTTAACTGAGTTATACATAAAATAAAATAAATACATAATAAAGGGTAATCATTGCTGTTTATTCCTTAAAATAACTTTTTTGTTAAATATTTGAAACCAACAGAAAGAAACTTACCACAGGTTCTGGGGCAATGTTTCTTAAATTTGTGAGCACATTAGGGTCACCTGGGAGGCCATTTAACAAGTCCAAAGTCAAAGCCTTTTTTTGAACCACTCAGAATCCTTGCCAATGGGATCCAGACCTCAGTAAGCCACAATCTTCCCCGAAGTGATTCTAATGCAGAAAAGCCTGGCAACCAGCAATCTGTGACCTCTCTATTTAAATAAAGCATGGCCTGTACACTGGCAGCCATGGCATTTAGCTGGACTAGAAAGCATGGTCTCAGGCGGGCAGCCTTCCAAACTGCCAGCTCAGAATCTTATTTTCCCAAGAACCACAGGTGACCTGAGTGCACATGGGAGCAGGAGAAACACCACTCGACAACACAGCAAGCTGTTCCCCAAACCACTCTTTTCGCACAGTTCATGTCTGCTTTAGAAATACAAAAGCAGGGCTAGAGAGAGGGCTCCGCGGTTCAGAGCACTTGCTATTCTTGCAGAGGACCCAGGTTTGAAGCCCAGCACCCACGTGACGGCTAACAACCGTCTGTAACTCCAGTTCCAGGGGATCTGACGCCCTCTTCTGACCTCCTTGGGTATTGCACAACACAGATGCACTTACACACATGCAGGCAATACACTCATACACATGAAATAAAATTTAAAAATAAAATATTTATAAAAATAAATACAAAAGCAAGGGCAGAGAAGCAAGAACAGAGGTATGGAGGGTGAGACAGAGGCAGGACTTACCTCACTCTGGGGCACTGGGCAGGTACTGAGTGCTATTAAAGCTCTGTTACTGTTAATCATAACCTAACCAAATTCTCATTATAACCATTTCTTCTTATGGTTGTTTCCTATAAATAAGGTGTTAGAATGGGGCAATCAGACCCTCCTAATTGACAGCTGTTAGACTCTTTCTTGCTATCTTGGCCACCTTGAGCAAAAGAAATGCTAGTAAAACAGCCATGTAGACTGCCCTTATGCCAGCACCAGATGTTTGAGTATTCCAAAGATGCCTTGAGATAAGTGCACAACAGCCACAGCTGATCGCTCCAGTTCCTGAAGGCAAGGGCAAATCTATCTACCTCAGATTTTTTTGTCACCATGTCCATGAACTCTAGATGGTCTTGTAGCCATTTCTACCTAGGTCAGATCAATTCCCCGGTGTTAACAGAGAGACTGCTGTAACCGGTGCAAAAGCAGAGGGACTGTAATTGATGTAAAAACAATCATATTTACATTCAAGGTGTACTGTGATTGGTCCAAACATGCCTCCTTCAGCTATCTAAGCAGGCTGTTCAGGTCACTGAGTTGGCCGAGAGACATTTTCCTATGCTGTCTCCACTGGTGATACAATATGAGGCCCAACAAAAGTCTTCTCTCAAGTGGCCTTTTCTTGCCCACAGTTAGTAACGCGGGCTGAGCTGGTGACATGGAGAAAAGCAGTTGGGACAGTGGAGCAACGATGGCTGTACAAGCTGCTGGGGGGCAGCAGTAACAACAGCTGAAGAGTTGGCAAGCCAAGACACAAAGATGGCAAGGCAGTGAGAGCCAAAGAAGAGGTAGCGGGACAGTTGGAGAGAATAGTCAGGACAGGAACATGGGGGACAGAGGAAACAGAGTGGACAGAGAGCTGAGGCTGCAGAAGGACAGAGTCCATAAAGGGCCAAAGAACCAAAACTGCAGGCCATGGCTACGGAAGAGTTCCAGAATGCCATCAAGCCTCTAGAGCCAAGGGCCTCAGACACCAGCCTTGGAGCTGTAAAATTGGTCAAAGGCTGAGCAAAATCCCAGTATCTAGGAAGCTGAAACGCCTCAGCCTTCCAAAGGCTGAGGAAGTCTGATACCCTCAGCCTATGGAAGAGCTGTAACCACCTAAAGAGCTAATGGTCTGGATACCCAAGGCTTGCAGGAGAGACCGCCACCTGCTGCTGCCCTACCTGCTGCCCCTCCTGCCACAGCCATGGTGCTGTAGGCTGCTGTCAAACACTAAGGAATACAAAAGCTGCTCAAAACCAGCACTCGAAAAGCTCCTCTTACCACTTCTATTTTGATAAAGAGCAAAGGGACCCCAGTCAGCTGATTAGTAACAAGAGTATTATTTTCTTTTCCTTTTTTTCATTTTATGTGTATAAGCGTAATGCATGCGCCTGTATCATGCAGTGCCCGTGGATGTCAGAAGAGGGCATCAGATCCCCTGGAACTGGAGTCAGACAGTTGTTAGCAGCCATGTGGGTGCTGGGAATCAAACCCAGGTCCATTGAGCCATCTCTCCAGGCCCAAGAACATTACTTTGGTTGGATAAGGAAGAGGACAAAGTTTGAGCCCCTCAAAAAATTTTTACCAGTTTTTCAAATAAAATGACTGTGCTATAACAAAAGAAATGCAATAGTCACTGCTATTTAAATATGGGCAAAGGGAGCTGTGTGTGGTAGCACACATCTATAATCCCAGCACTCAGGAGACCAAGGCAGTAAGAGCAGGAGTTTGAGACCAGCCTGGGCTACATGGCAGACCTATCTCCAAAACCCAAAATAACAACAACAATAAGTTAAAACATTTTAATTTAATAAACTAAATATGGACCAGTTAATTGAAAGAAGTTGGTTTTTTAACACTAGATTTCAGAAAAGCCTTCTAAAAAGACTATAGGTTGATAAATAGACCATCTTTTTCCTAAATCAGTGGCACAAATACTTCTCTTTTTTCTTTCAATTCAGATAATTACATTGTTTGCCTATATATCTTACTCTCTGAATTCTCTATTTGTGTTCTAGTTTACTTATTTAATGTACTTTGAAAACCACTTAACATATGTAATTAGTAAATTGTTAAAGTATACCTTGAGATTTTTGGGTGGCTTGAAATTGAAGAACGTGGTCAGTTTATTCTGAGAAGCGTTAAGTTCTAGAAGATAAGGCATGCAACTCACACAAGACAAATCTGAGGGGCAAAAATAAATGCAGAATAGGTAAACCAATAAAATAACAGGGAAAATCATTAAAAACAGCTACATCAAAATACATTTTAATTATGCCAGTTGCAAGTGCATCTCCAATATTTCAGGAGAGTCAAACTAATAAAACCTGAAATGTGTGAAATATCTTTTTAAGTGTAGAACAGATGAGATCAGGTATTTTCAGGCTATAGGAAGGAGAACCAGAAAAACACACTTTCTCTAATGTTTCATAATTGTATCTAACATATTATATGTCGATCTGAAAATAAAAAAGATAAAATAGTATAGAAAACTCTCGATGAGCTAATAATGTAACTTCCCCCAGCCCCCGAAAGCCCACCTTCTCTCCTGTACTTCCAGGATGGGGAGTAACCAATGGCGAGCCCCCTGCATACCCTCAGGCGGGTTTCTCCCACAATCTGCTAAGGCCTCAGGCCTTCCAAAATTGCCAGCCTTATGGGAAAGGGTAAGAAACTAAAGCCTTAGATAATGCTTTTGATAATTAGCCCCTAAATGACTGAATTAGGTCTTTTCAGAAGATTGGAAATGCCACAATTAGAGAACTCTCTTTGTTGCAAATTCAATTTTGTTTTAGATGGACTTAATCCTAAATCTCATTAATTATTTGAAGTGATTTAGATTCTTGCTATTATTGTACTTTGACTCCGGATTGCTTCAAAATTACATCTGAGTTCTGCATTTCAGCCCAAGCAAATATTCCCAAGTTGATGCTAAGTAAAAGACCTTGCTAACAGAGACTATGAATGGAACGCCATATAAAAGAGTGTGAGAGAGCGTTTTGCCTTTCTCTGTTTCCCTGTGGCTGCACTCTGGGTAGCAGAATATTAGGGATGGGCGAGATCAAGAAGAATCACGCAGTGGGGGGTTACAGCCTTGTAGCTTCAAGTGATTCCCTTCTCCATCTGAAAGTGCTAGCAATGACAGCACTTCCCTTTCCCTCTCATTGTGAAAGACAGAAGGTCCTGGTGGGAGGCCGGAGCCTCTACATGCCAAGCCAAACCAAGCAGCACAGATACATGCAGAGCAGAGGTAGCAGCACACCAGCTGCGGCTTGGGGTGGACAGGGATAGGGTGGGAGATGACTCTGGTATTTTGCCTTCTCAAGAGTCACTGAAGTCAAAAAATTTCCATCAATTTCTAATTCATTTCTCTGGAATAGACAGTGCCCTAACTGTAAACAGCTCTAAAAGATATAATTCTTTGGGATATTAATGTTTTGGTAGAAATTAATGGGCCAATCAAGGAAGGTTGCCTGTGAGAGGAAACCTACGGAGGAACAAGTCCCTTGACAACTGGTATCTATCAGCTGCATGTCTGTCAGAAAGGGTCTCAGTTAGTTTCCACTAAGCCCCCAAACTTCATGGAATCCATCTTTTGGTGGACTGATAAATTCCAGTAGCACAGATATCTGTGTTAAATGCAATAAATAGATACAAAGAGATCTGGGCTGAAGAGATGGCTCAGCAGTTAAGAGCACTGGCTGCTCTTGCAGAGGACCCGAGTTCGATTCCCAGCACCCTTATGGCAGCTAACAACAGTCCATAACTCCAGTTCCAGGGAATCCAATGCCCTCTTCTGACCTCTGCAGGCATTGTAGGACATGGGTACTCTTACATGCAAGCAATACACTCAAACACATAAAATAAAAATAATAAATAAAATATTTTAAACGAAGAGATCATGAGTACATTTCACACATGATTATAGTCACGATTTTACAATCACTGAAATACTCCCTGGGTTGCTGGACTTCTGGAATGTCCCTACGCGATGCAGTGACCTCTTTGTCCACCAGATGGCAGGAGCACCTCGTGTCTACAGCAAAGGTTCTGGACCCACAGCATCTGCCTCACCCTCACTCCAAACGTAAATTCTCAGAGGGCACCCCAGACCTACTGAGTCAGACACTCCAAAGGTGAGGTTCGACAATATGTGTTCTAACATTCCCAACTCCACACAAGTGATTCTGATGCAATCTGAAATGTGGTCAACCTCAGGACTTCTGTAAGCCTGACGTCTTCCCAAAAGAAAACTGTACAGCATCCTGAGACACAGCAGACTCTCAAACTCCCGGTGATTTAATAAAGAGGGTGGAACAGAACTAACGAAGAATGATCTGAGTGCAGGGGGAGAGTGTCTGAAGTGGCATGATGCGAAGCTAAGTCCCTTTCCTTGTGTTGGCACTGAGCATCTTCAGAACCTTCTGTGAGGCTGCAATTTCTTACCCAGTAAGGAAAAAAGTCAATCTCAGAGGTGTGAGGTGGGCAGAGCAAAACCAGGCTTGGAGATGTGGTGTGGGAGATGTGGTGTGGGGAGATGTGTTGTGGGGAGAGAGCTCTGACTAGTAAATGTGAAAGCGCCTTCCTGATGCTAGGATCATCATAATCTGAGATTTGCTTTAAAATAACGCAGGGGAAGGGGGACAGTGAGATACAGATGGAACAAGATTGGCCCTGGGCTATAACTGCTGACTCTCGGTATTCATTCCAGAATTTTCTCTGCTCATGTACTTGTTTGCAATTTTCTAAAAGGTTATAAAAATAGAAAAAAACAGTTTTATACTCTGTCAAAAACAGTGGCATTTGAAACAGGATACAATGCTTCACATTGAAGGACTGGATTTTAATTATTAGAGTTATATTTGGGAGGATTGGAAAATGAAACAGAAAGACCATTATTAGCATTAAGAAAGTATTTTTAAGGCAGGTAAAAGAAGGGGAAAAGATAATCAGAGGATAAGGCAAGCCAGAAATAAGTACTTGATGTGTCTAGAAGTCTATAGAAAGAAATGCATATTATTAATTTCAAATAAGAACAGAAAATCAGAAACAAGGACAAAGCTTTGAAGAGCATATAACAATTGTAGAACTAATTTCATTATGTGTGGAAAAAGTATCATAATAAATGCACCAAATTGTAGATGGTCTGGTGGAAAGAGTCAACTAAGCACAAAGAGATCATGAAGAGAAAAAGAGAAATGTGAGTCCCTGGTAAGCAAACAATAAAAACAGAAGTAGCCAGGCAGGGCTCAAACGTAAATTCAAAAGCAAAATTAAAAGTCCATCGGGGGGTGCTAATTCATCTGAGCTAAATAATTGATAGAGGAAAAAGGAATTATCAAACATTCTGCAAGTACCAAAGAGACACAATCAATCTCTTAAAAGGAAAAAATAAGGTAAACACTCCATTTTACATGTGGAAGTCTCCTGAGCACATCTCAGTCCTCCCCTGCCCCTCCATGGAGAGCAAAGAATCCGTGTATAAATTGATCAACAAATCACTCATATCAAGCTCTGTATCATTAAACTATACTACACACTGTAACATTTAAATTTCTGAAACAGTCCTGTGATCAATTTACTCAAAAGACAATTACGCACCTTCAATTTTGTTTGCTGAAAGATTCAACTTCTGCAGGTGAATGTAGTCACACAGAATGCTGATGTCCGTTAAATCACAGCACTAGGAAAAAGAAAAAAAGGCTTTAATTCATCTCTCATGAGCTTGTGTTAAGTCCTTCCTACAACAACTGGAAATAAGAGTTGATGGAAAGAAATTCAGAATTTCTTTCAGAAGTACAGAAGCAAGACAACAAAATATGAGCACCCAAAACTAATGACAGATCTCACCCCTGACCCCATAAAAAAATTGCTCCAAAGAAAATACTAGCCCGAGAAATGAGTGTTGTCAGTAAGAATGAACACAAGAAATGGTAAATTAAAGCAATGGTTGTGGGACCCTTTAGCGCAATCTTACATAAAAAATACATTATAGCAAGAAAGACAATGCTTTCATCTAACCGAAGAAAAGCAAATGCCTAGAATTTCAATGATGTTTTAAAGAGAATTCACACTCCAAATTGGGAGATCATTAGTAACATTACCTACACATTCACAGGGTTCATTTTCAAAGTTCTTTCACAATGATCCCAGCAGATCAGACACAGTTCTAAGAGTTGCAGGGCCAACTACTCCCAATTCAGAAACGAGGAACTTGAAGCCCAGAGAGGTGTCTAAGACTGAGGCCACAGAGCACATTAGGGAGATGCAGTACCCAGCTCTCCTGTTCAAAATTCCTTCCAGGAGATTGCACTTCAAGGGAAGTTCACATGACGTTAGGAAGGAATTTGATCCGACAGGATAACTTATAACTACTGGTATATGCCCAGTCAGAAAAACAAAACCAACCAATAGTCATTTTTATGCAGGTTCACTTAGAGGATAGTGATGGCTGTTTAATGTAGGTTGCCAAAAGTAATAAGTACTGCAGCCTTGGTGTATATAAGACGTCATTGTGGTTGATATGAAAACAATGAGGAAAAGAGCTCTAGCATGCCTTTAAGAATTTAAGACTATGGCAAGACAGAAGACATGCACACAAGTAATAAGAGAAAGAAAAAAATGAAAATAGTAATGTGTAGCATTAAGTAAGATATTAGGGGAAAATCACTGAACCAGGAAGTGAATTCAGTAGGACAGGTTATTAAGGCCAAGTAATTCAACATGTAATATCTCCAATATAAGGAGGTCAGTGGCAATATCAGTTAAGCTCCAGTTCTGTGGCTGAAATAAGATTTAAAGGATTATTTTTTTGGCAGATCAATTTAAGGCAAAGTACTACATACATATGTAGAATATTGATTGAAATGGACTTGTGTGGGGATGTATGGGCTGCTGGGATTATACCATCTCAGTATCTAATACAGGGAACTACATGCAAGGTGTTAATCCTATGTCACCACTGAGTGCCAACGACATCCACAGAATAAGATGGTTTGGGATGTTCTGTGTGGTACACACACACACACACACACATACACACACACACAAATCAACAAATTAATAAAGTGTATTATATTTGAGGAGGAAGCATGGAAATTTACATCATGCTAATTAGTAGAGGTGATAAACATTACCATTGAAGATTAGAGAATGACTTTATAGACATACACAAGAGCCAAGGATCTGAGTGCAAACGATTATGACTAGTAATAATCAGATACATACAGATTAGAGATGTATGCACCAACATCTCAGTGTTAGTAGCAAAAACAATGAGTCTGTCTGTAAGGAACAATATATTCTAAAGTGAAATTGAGATCTTTTTTAAAGGTTAAAAAACTCACTCAATTTTATGTCTTACAGGGCTTATACTGAGTTCAATATTCTATAACTGTATTAACTCAACTGTGAACCTAGAAACTTGTACCCACTTGTGAAAGAGATATACTCTTGCTCTGGAGTGTGTTACTGAATATGTTAAATCTGTAGTGAAATGTTTCTTCTAATCATGTAGTTATTAAAAATTTAAAAAATAATGATTTAAAAAATAATAATTTTTCAAAGTATAAAAATTTGCTCCTTAATAATTAGTAGATGTGAAAAACATTACCATTGAAATCTACCTGATGACTTTATATCCATGCTCAG